TTTTACCATAGTTAGTGAGTAATGACCAAAAGGCAGCAGGACCGCTCAGAGAGAACACAGAGTGATTGTGTGACTTTCAGGTGACAAGATACATAGTGTTGGCTGGTGCATGGTCCACTGTCAGCAACATTAATACGTCTTCAGGAATCTAAGAAGGTGCAGACCTTAGCCACTCAAATTAGGTCCATGAAATCTTTATGAAATACACAATACCAGGAGGAATAAATTGTGATTATTTTTTAATAAGGTATTAGTTCTTCGCTATTACCAGATACACAAATAATTTTAATGCATAACTTATTCTTTGGAAATTAGTTAGCACAGGTGAAACTGGAAACCCACAAACACTGACTGGAACATTACATTCTCACAGTTATGAGCCAGTTTCCCTGAGATGAAGCAGCAGCAGCAGAATGCCACTGCAGAGCCTGTGAGGAAGCAGTCACACCACAGCTGGATCACACGTCACACAGTGTAAGTCTGGGAAAGATATGAAAATGTTCACTCTAAGTGTGTGAGTGTGTGTGTGTGTGTGTGTGTGTGCGTGTGTGTGTGTGTGTGTGTGTGTGTGTGAGAGAGAGAGAGAGAGAGACAGACAGACAGACAGACACAGACAGAGAGAGAGACAGAGACAGACAGAAACAGAGAGACAGAGACAGACAGAGAGACAGAGAGAGAGTGTAAGAAAGAGACAGACAGAGAAAATGACTAGACTAATGGGCCTAAGACTAGATCAATAGCATAGTGTGTGCTGGGGCTGCTAACATGAATACATGTACAGCACTTGAATGAAAATCCGAGAGTTATATCACATATGTTCATGAAATAAATGAACTTGAAGAAAAATAGAGAGTGTGTCTCTATTTCTGGGTGAATTGATCAAATCCATGAGGGTGCTGCCCAATGCTTGAGTGAAAACTTTCAATGTGAATTACTCAAAACAAACTGAAATTTCTGTAATTCTTGCAGATGTAAACTCATGCTTCTATCCTTTGGTTTTTGTTGTGTTGATAATCAGTGGTCAGTGACTTAATGATATTTACTGGCATAGTTTGTGTCATTTTTAAAAAAACAATTTTATAATTGTATATTATCTGATTTCCATTTTAATTTTGTTGTATTCATGTGTGTGCCTGTGTGTGTGTTTGTGTGTGTGTGTGTGTGTGTTGTGAGAGAGAGAGAGAGAGAGAGAGAGAGAGACAGAGACAGAGAGAGACAGGGAGAGACAGAGAGAGAGAGAGAGAGAGAGAGAGAGAGAGAGAGGATCTAAACCTGTAGTTTAGGTTCCATCAAACTCACAATGCTCCTACCTTAGCCTCCAAAGTGCTGGGATCACAGGTGTGTGCCACCACACCTGCCTTCATTCTCCATTTGAGTCTCCTGTATGCATTAGTAAATGAGATCCCAACAAAGTAAAAATGGACTCATGGCACACGGCAGCTACATTAAATTGACTTGGCATTTTTTATTAATGCATATTTAATGGGCAACTGTATTTTGTAACTATTAGGGATTTTGATACTATTGGAGAATTGAAAATAGTTTTTCATTGCTAATGAAAAGCTTACTCAATATTATATCAGTATCAATGTTACAAAGTTCAATTTA